GCATAACAGTCTATAGCTTAGATATCCCTCCATTGTTGAGTAAGTGTTTATCGGGAGCGGGTTAATAGGATAATTGAGCTACTTTTCAGTACGTGAATCTAATAGCCGACCACATAATATCATCATATAATGAAATAATTTTGTAAAAAAAAAAATCAATAGCTAACCTGTAAATGAATTCTAAAAAGCTTTCGTTGACACAAAGACCCATCCGGACACAAATTACTAATATAATCAATGACTCGGTCTACAATCGTTCTCAACTCATTTTGCGGAATTCAGGAATTTTCTTCTAAATCTTGGTGAACGACAGACGTGGCATTTATATGACGCTCTTCGGCATTAATCAAAAAATTGTGAATTTTGGTTTGTAAATCAGCAGACATATTGATTAGTCGAGTTCAAAGAAAATGTAGATAAAAAGAAGCAACGAACAAATATAACGTAGATATACTGCCCTTTTAAAATGTTTCTCTCCGCTCATTTCTGCCTCATTTAGGTATGGGAGCAGTAGATTTAGGGAATGTGGAACTGGAGCGATGCAATGCACAGCGAAAAAAACTTTTCACAAAGAAAATGCATGTTACGAGTTAGTTAATCAGATTTTAGAATTTATAGTAACAATCAGCAGGTCGTATGTTTCTGTGGTATAGCATGTGATATGTTGATCGAACATCCTCGATCGCACATTGGTCAACCGTGATCGTACTCTGATTATTCTGTGATTGTTACATTATATTACTATGAAGCAGAATTTTCCGATCGTGACCACAGTCACGGTTTTATCAAGTAATTTTTGCGATATAAAAAACCACATATGCTATAATAAAGATTTCGATTAGAGGAACGTACAATGTATCATGTGTTATTTTTTCGTGTAATGTAAAACAGTATTTTTTTCCGAAATAATTTTCTTGGCAAAAGTAATTGGCGTTACAAAATGTAACGCACACGTGGTTTTATATCATTATAAAGGAAGAATATTACGAATTCTTTCATAGCAAAGATTCCAATAAACAGAATGCACGAGATCAATTCAAGGAAACATTATGTGAAGAAAACAATTGTTTTGGTATTACGAAAACTCTCATGTAATTATTCCGGAGAATTGGGTCTTAATGAGTAAAGCAGACATATTTATGTACACGGACATCCAACTATTTTTTAGATTAAAAAACACCCATCATTAATTATTCAAGAGAAATAATCGCAATTATATTTTAAGCTAAAATTTGAATTATATGTATGACTTTATTTGAAATTAATAGATTAACATTTGTAATTCATGAATTTTCATTCTGAATCTCTTTACATTCCCATGCGGAAACCGAATCTGGTAGCCAAATCCAATCACGAATTCTTGGTACAGTGATGCCATCGACTGATTCAGATAATCTTAATTTATTAATTACTCCTGTTTGAATCTCGAGCTCGCTCTGAAAATTAAATGTGAATGTTATATTGAAGTTCATGTAATATTAAACGAACATATTCAGCATATTTAAAGATACTTTCTATAAGATTGTAAAGAAGTTCAAAGACTGCCATAAAATTCGCTACATCGATGAATTCAAATGGAAGAGTTGCAGATTTGATCTGCGAAACTTTGTAAAGATGTTTACTTATAAGGCATAATTTACTAAGCGTTAACCGGTCACCTAACAAATATTTCCATGCAAGATTTGTGTTAAAATAATTAAATGAGTGACTTATGAGTGCAGTAAATAAATAAATTACCAATGCTTTGAATTATGAATGTGCATAACTGCTTCGATTCTTCCGCGCTTCTGTCCAAATAATTTCGTAATAAGGAAACAAGACCAAATACAGCTTCTTTCAAAAGCTTCTCCGAATCTCCTTTCACGTGTTGTGGATCTATGTTTTCGGGACCACCTGCTACTTCGATAAAAATAACAGCTTTGTTGCTCGAATTTCGTACTCCCAAACCATCAGCTTGGTTTATAGGCAAATCGAACTTTGGAAATATCTTCTTAACTTCTCTCATGCAATCTAATTCAACTTCTATCCAATGAAATTTGAATTCATTGTGTACCGATTGAATCGCTTTGAACAGCGGAACAATCCTTTCGACGATATACGTACGTTCACCAATGTCTCTTTTGAGAGGACCTTTCATTGTCATAAAATAACTAATCGAATTAATATAAAACAACAAGCATATCAGTAAAATTATGATGTCAAAAAAATATAAATTCGTGAGTAAAACAACCACATACAAGTCATAAAGGACAAACTCGCAAATTTGACGAAAATCATGATCTTTTGTACTTGCTTCTAAGCTTAAAGGAGTCCTGGTTGCTTTGACAAACTCCTCTTTTGGTGACTAGAGTAAAGAAATTTTAATATATACATTTTACTATCCAAAAAAAAAAATTTATGATAACTTACTGTCAATGTCATTATAAGCCAATTACGAACCATACTAGAAATTTTTTCCGAAATGTGATTGTCTTTTATGATCATCCCTTGATCATTTATATCTATTTCTATATGATTTTGTAGATACGTAATAGATTCCTTAAAAAGCACTGACTTTTGAGGAGTAACCTGTATATTAACATTAGGCCTTGGCGGTGGAGTCCTCGGGGTTTGGGTGGTAGGGTTTGTAACTATCACAGTCGGTAATAGTTCTCGATTTATCAACATTGATGAATCTTGTGATATTGTTATATTGTTTGATATAGAATTTAAGGACCTGGCCTGAGTTTGTGACAGTTGAGTAATGGGTGGCGAATTAGTATTTAATACAATCGCCAATAAAAAAAATAAAATTAACTAAACATATCCGAGAAAATTTTATACTTACACTTCCGTTATCACATTTCGCTGTTGCTTTTAATTCCATTTGTTTTCCTTTATTGATCTTCCTCTAAATTACATGTAGTGTTTTTTAATATTGATTTACATTCTCAATGGCGTTAACAGTATTACCTACCTTTTTTTTCTGATAATAGTCCGAATCGGAGGAAATAGAAGAGTTATTATTTGGTTCATACTAATAACAAATATATCGCTTTGGTCACGAAAACGTATTGCATATCAATTAATCAACCCAATGTCAACTTACGTCATTATCATAATCAGATTCATGCCGATTTCTTTTATCGATCTCCTGCAAAATTTACACAGACATCTTTTAATATTAATCCATATGTCATAATTTACATCGGTACCAATTACCTTCTCTTCGTGATCCGACTCAGAAAGGTTAGTTTCATTCAAATTTTCATTGTAATCAACAGGTGAAATATCTCTCAGTTCCCTCGTAGAGCATTCTCCCTCCTAAAAGAAATCGCAAAAGGTAATGTGTTCATAATCAGAAAATACATATTTAAACTATGACTGAAGTGGAAAGATTAAAAGATATTTTTGTTAAATAAATTTAAGTTATATACTAACCTTATCTGCATGCTTCCGATTTTGTCGTTTTCTTTTTAATACAAGATCGCTTTCAATAATGTGCTCGTCTAATACATTAGATTTTATTTGACAAACTTCTTGATCCTAGATTATTTAAATAAGCAAGTAAATAATAATTATGATTTTGCCAAGTATGCGGACAATTCATTTATATTAACCTCTTTTTCTTTCAATATATTTTTAATACATTGGGTTTGATTTCTCTCATCGCGGACATAAACACCATTCCAATAAGTTTTCACTGAGGTAGAGTTGATAAGTTCGTTAAAATTTACTAATAATTTCTGAGCCTTCACATTATTTTCAGAAGCGACGATCTCCAGCGCTTTGTATAAAACTTCCTCTGCTTTAGTCTTTTGAACAAAAGGAAAATCTATTTTTCTATAAAATTTAACAACAGTAAAGTTTTCATCGAATATAATTTCTTTCAAAAGCCTGTGGATAATATATATATTAATGTCAATACGATGATCAATAAATGTGATGATAATATTTAACGCAAACCATAATGCCTAAAAAATAAAATATAGTAAGTAAATCAAATGAATAACTTTGGGAAACAGTATTTTATTTTTTAACCCGAAACTTTCTCCGGATAATTATAAGATCGCCACAGTATATAGCTGTTTCGCCAACAAAACCAGAGGCAGAAGAACCCCTCAGGATTTACAGGTCGGGGAAACACTGGATTTAAAGAACCAGAACCTTATAATATCCCTTGAAAATCGCTATCTGGCCATTTCGCCAACAAAACCAGAGGAAGAAGAACCCCTCAGGATTTACAGGCCGGGGAAAACGCCGGGTTTGAAAAAGAAACACAAAGGGTAAAATCATACTCGACCTTTCAAATCAACGAAGACTCCCGTGGAGTTAAAAAAAATTTTCTGTATAGATCGTGATACGATATCACAACATCACAACATCACGTGATCACAGGATGTGGTATTACGAAAATAAAAGTTTGGCTAAAACATAATCGAGATCATCTTGATAAGGTTACTGCTATAAAGCTCTGAATCCGCTTGATCTTATCGACTCCGATTTCACTAAATAAATTATAAATCTTTTAGGCTCGCTCTTTCATTTTTCGAAGCAAGCTTTGGCTAACCGATGAAAGTTGAACTCTAACCTCATTATTAACTAACCCTTGAACCGTACGTTTAGGATTGTTTTTTTTATAGTGATTGAATCGTTCCTCGAGTGCTTTTCCAAAATAGAAATAGTGAAGAATGACTTCTTGTATCGTTTTTTTACTAGTTTCTTCGGCATTAATTATATTTTGGTACAAAGCTAGAAAATTGATCGAGTTCTCATTCGATTCAGACATTAGTTTAGTCGGCAAAGTTTTCTCTGGAACGTCGGTTCTCAATTCTTTGATTAGTCTTTGTAACGTAGGAGAATCTTCCTTTGAAACTGGCTTCTTCACTTTCTTACTGAATAGTTTATCAGTATATTCACCAACACGTTTTTTAGGCGAACTTGGATATATGGGGTCACTAAGTAATGTCAGGGATATATCCATCAAATCGTTGGTATTCTGACTTCTAGGCGTAGCATCAACCGTAAATTCTACCTCTTTCTTGCAATTAGGTCTTGGACATATTGAATGCTTTTTGATAGAAGTTTCGATGCAACCACGATGATATGCGTGGCCACAGGTGAGTATGGTAATTGGGGTTTTTATTTCATACAAAAAAAGTTCTTTGTTACATAATAACGAGCATGGGTTTAGTTCTGAAACATCAACGCCTTCTGCAATCTTTTCTGAGAATGAATTTTTTAGAATATTTAATGCAAGGGATTCGAGAGATGAGATATTAGCAGACATAGCGAGGTTTATAACCGGATAAGTTTTCCATATACTTAACTCATTTTTATATACCACACTCCTCGCGACTAACAGAACCAATTTCAGATATTATGAAAACGATTTGGCGATCGGTTCATTTATAAATTAATTACTTCGGCTCGGAATCGCTCAATATTTACAGGTAATCGTGGATGATTTCAGCTGAAAAGCAAAGATTAACATTAATTTCGCAAAATAACGATGAAATAGCTTAGTCTCTTGCGCATCTTAAAAGCGTGCTTTTTTTTTCAACACGTATTATATAATCGATATGTGTCTTGACATTAGCTCCGCTATACTAGCAATATGTATACAATATATCCTGGATGTCGATCATTAAAAATTTATTATCGGAAAAAACAATTATCATGTGGTACCACAAACTTGACACATTATACCAACTTACGATGAGAAATCGCCAAAGACAGTCACATAATGGCTAGATTTACATATTCGATATTATATAATACCTGAACTTGAAGCACTTTTTTTCACACTCTCATCTGTCAAATTATGAACAATGATACAAATGATATTTATATTTATATATCCCATTACAATAAATATGCATCTCTCTCATTCTCATATCATATATAGCTCAAAATCCCCAAAATACAACACTCTTGAAGAGATGGTTTAAGAACAAAATCACACAAAAATGAATCTAGATATTTAGAGTATATAGTTATTAAATCTAATAGGTCTAAATCCCTAAATACGATACAA